GGTTTTTTACCCACAAAAGCTTATGCCCAAATAAATCTGTTAGTCTTTAAGGTGCCGCCAGACTCCTCGTTTTTGTGGTTACAAACGAACACGGCTACCCCTCTGATATTAAGGCTTCTGTTTTCAGTTTAAACCTTTGTTTGATTAAAAAAAAATAGTATGTGCCAAATGGGCTACTCCTAACAATTTCTCAGACAAAAGGAGCATTGGTAGTCTGAAATTCTGGAGGAGAAATCATGTGTGATTGGGTACACTCTGACACTAGATCCATAAGTGCTCTTTCTATTTGACAGTTTTATTTACCACAATTTTTCAGAAAACTACACTTTATTAGTTACCCTCCAGCATGAAGTCCCATTGCACAATATTTGTATCCCAAAATAATTTATGTATGGATGAAGGGGAATCTGTGTAGAGCATTACATTGCCAACTTAAATTGTATTTTATTAAACAAATCTATTTAACAGTTACAAATATTATTGCTTATTAAAACCAAAAACACTGTTCTCTATTTTTTTGCCTTTTGTAGTACACTAGTTAGTCTCACTTCTGTTTTATAATCCATTTCATTTATAATCTTTTTAATTTTTGTTTCTTGCATATTAGTACAACATTGTAGTATCCAGTTGCAAATGCTGCAACGTAATGTTTTAAACAAAATTGTTTTCGTTGTTTTTTTATTATTATTTTCATGAAAAATGTATATTAAGTTTTTGTTTAAAAATAATTTACAAAACTTAAATTTTGGACTTAAATTACCAGACAAATGCCTTTTAAAACAATATGTAAGATCCTTTGCTTTATTCTGAAGTACCAGAGATTAAATGAGCCCAAATTTAGGCAACTTTGGAGTGCAATGCAAAATGCATCTCTTTACCCTCCAACCCTCAATAAATAAAGCTGAAGAACAGTCCCTCATCTCTCTTAGAAGACAGTCACCAAGACTCATTCTGCTCGGAAAGTAATCTACTGGAGTATGAGCTAATTGCTTTTGTACTTCATCCTCCTTAAAAGGAGCTTCCTACAACTTGGGAGAAGCAAAGAGCTGACCCCACCATGGAATCCACATTTCATCAACACTTAATGAAATTTAATTACAGTACTCAGATGCATCAGTCAGAGGCATGATAGAAAAATTTGAGATAGTGATAGAACTGATGTTTTCTGGGTAATTAATAGGAAGCCTTGATACTAATGATGATAGATGCATAGAAATATATATTTAGAGAGAGACGGAAAGAGGAATGATATAAAGGTCTTTTGATGACAGAGCAGAGATAGTCTTTGTTTTTAATTTGTACAAAAATGTCTCCTACAAAAGTTTTAAATCTGATAAATTGAAATAGTGGAACTGGGTAATCCTTGCAGTTTGGTAGCAGAACAATATGTTGCCACCAAGTCATTGTTTTGGCCCCAGTCTCCTTTGATGCCAGGAGCTGAAAGTACTGTGGATTCAGTATGTTCAGCCCTTGAGACATGGGAAAGCTCTTTGTGTTGCTCTTCCTGCTGCTGCATAGAGGATTTCAAAATCCTTTGCAAACAATAAATTAAGAGTGACGTAGATAAGTGTATATACCCAATATTAAAACTGCAACATAGAAAGGTTGAGGAAGTTGCTCAAAACCACATTGAATCATTAACCGACCTAAAATAACAAGTCGTGGTAGTGGGTTGGACATCTACCAGCCACATTAAAGATAGGTTACGCAATATACATTGGCTAAATAATTTAATTAATCACTTACCTCTGCTAGGTTTCTCACTATTCTCTGGATCTGTTCTCCTTAGCATAAGTGCAGAGTGAAGAATTATTATAAATTGATGAGTTGTATTAGCCAAAATAGCTTTTAAAGCAGATTTAAAAAAATTACAAAAAGCAAAATAAAGATGGTTAGATTCTGGTGTTCACAGACAGAAAAATTGACCACACTGTGGGATGTTAGTTTTCAAGAGATAATAAATCAGTTAAATTAATTCACAGTTTTATCAAACTTTTATCCTAGTTCTTTACTAGTATGAGTGTGTGGGTGATTCTGGTATCAATGTGGAACTATCTATCCTTATTTATTTCCAATCAAGCTTATATGCCAATGGAATTATGGGACTGCTCACATCAGTTCAACCAAACAATTCTACAGTAGGATTTAGAAGTTTAGACAAGTTATTTAATTATCAGAGTGTAAATTCAGTTCTGAATTACCTTGGCCAGGTGATACTCATAGCCAAGTTTTGCCACTGATACATGCACAAGACTGTCACACAGGAAACCCAGAACGTAACATGTAGGTAATAATTTTGAAGCTATTCTAACTCTTCTGGAATTTCACCAGTACCACCAGGTCTTATGCCACTTGAACCAAAGTTTCAAATAGTGGTTAAAATCTTTAGCTTACAAGACAATTCAAAACTCTTTTATTTTTGTCTAAGAAGTTGTCAGTTCTCTTGACTCAAAATCTATATGATATTTAGGCTGAACTCTTTGAAACACTTAGCACATCTCACAGCTAACGTCCCAGGATAGCATTCCCCATCCTTTAAGTATGGCCTACATTCTTTGGTCCTTGATGTGTACGTTTACATTTGGCCATATTAAAATGCATATTGTTTGCTTGTACCCACTTTACCAAATGATGCAGATCGCTCTGTATCAGTGACCAGTCCTCTTCATTATTTACCTCTCCCCCAATTTTTGTGTCATCTGCAAACGTTATTAGTAATGATTATATGTTTTCTTCCAGGTCATTGATTAAAAATGTTAAATAGTGTAGGGCTAAGAACAGATACTGGCAAGCCCCCACTAGAAACAGACCTGCTCTGTGGTGATTCCCTGTTTTACGTTGACCACATATATATATATTTAAAATAGACAACCTCGTATGAACTATATGGAGTATTTTGTGGTCAGGTTGCCTAGGCAATTAAACTTTCTTGAAGGGGTCTATTACAGAATGCCTTTTGATAGCTGTAATTTTCTAATATAGTTTCTTGCATCTAAAAGGTGTCAATTAAGACTTGTGTAATCTAGTAATAGCACAGTATAATGTTGTATCAGATATTATAGCTTGAGCTACTGTATCTCTATTGCAAATTTATAGGGGTAAAGTATATACAATAGAAGAAAAAAGTAAAAGAGAAATTTACTTCACAATTTAGCAGGAGTTTGTAGTTAAGCCTAGCTAGTTAGCTGTTGTAGTTACTCAACCTGTGTGAAATACACTGAAATAGTATCTGCTGTTTGACCTGTTTTAAAGGATTAGGCCTAAAGTATGTCAAGATTCTGGCCTATGTTTGGATGTTTTTGTTACTAATAATTTTAAATGTTAAGCAATTATAAACCGATATAGTGTTGTCTTTTTGAGTCTGCAGATAGCCTGAAACAATAGCTGTGAACTCCCTGCTCTCCAGCCACTGCTCTCCACCAGTCTCATTCCCTCTTAAATTTGATGGTGACATTTAACATTAACTATTTCATTGCTGATCATTTTCATAGAATATCAGGGTTGGAGGGGACCTCAGGAGGTCATCTAGTCCAAACCCCTGCTCAAAGCAGGACCAATCCCCAGACAGATTTTTGCCCCAGATCCCTAAATGGCCCCCTCAAGGATTGAACTCATAACCCTACGTTTAGCAGGCCAATGCTCAAACCACTGAGCTATCTCTCCCCCCCTTTGAGCAGCTAGGACAGGGAAGGGAATGGTAATGAAGCCCATGGAGGGAGGGGGAAGATTTGGGATTTGCTTCAGGGAGAACAATGCAGAGGGGCAAAAGAAGGAGAGAAACAAAGACAAGGCTGGGAGAGGAGAACCAGAGAAAGGAAGATGGGTAAGAAAGAGAAACAAAGGTCAAAAATACAGTGGTCATAAAGGGCAGCATGTCATCCGAATATAACAATATCTATGAATACAACAGTAAGATACTGAATAATAAATAGCTATAGGAAAAGTTTGTGGCAAATTGTTCAAACCTGAGTGCCTAAAGTGAGGTATAAAATAAGTGGGAGCAGCGGGTAGTAAGCGCCTCTGAAAATTAGGACACTTTTTTATTTGCGTTCCTAAATATGGATTCAGGAGCCTGTCTTTAGGAACCCAGATCTGAAACGTTTGGCGTTATTTATAACATCAACATAGCCACAGTCGATCTACTCTAGCTCTTTATGCAGACCTCCTGTTAACATCAATGAGAGTTCTTCTGGATTGGACATATGCAGACTTAAGTTTATATCACAACCCATGGCCCAGAATTAAACCTGGAATTAGTCCTCTACAGAATGACTTTGACACTAAGAGAAAGTCATGTCTGCTTTCTCAGGGTCAGAAGGAAGCTTGAGACAGGTCAGCAAATATAGTATGAAAAAGACTCCCAAAAGACTTATCTGGAAGAAAAATAAAGGGACTTTGTTGGTTTTTAAGGATTAATATAGTGGAAATTCATGTAAACTATCTTTTACAATTTCATTTTAACCTAAATTTTAAAGGATAACCATTTTCCGTATCTTCTTAAATGTTCCTCTAACATGGCAATTTTTTATACAAAACGACTTTTAAAAATTGTAATTCAACAGAAATGTCTGGTTTTTTTTTTTAATAGCTTTCTACCTTTTAGATACATCTTACTTGCTTCCGACAAGCTTCTTGCATGCAATGTTTTGTTCCTTTAAAGTGTTGTGCTTAACCCTGGCATGAGACCTGGCTGGGCTGTAAAACTCTCCCTCAGCAGCTTGCTTATGCTTATGCAGTTAGCCTTTCTGCAAGGGGTTCTGCTGCTTATTTACAGAATTCCATTTTTCCAATTATAAAACGAACATTATATTAAGAGAGTCTTCTTTTTACCAATTAGGTCAAAGTCCTAAAATTTTAAGACCTAAACCACATGGTTTAGAGCGAACTGATTCACAAACCATAGGTGACTTTGCTACAAGAAGAAAGGGTATGTACTATAGCACTGCATGTTGTATGGGGCTTTATAAAAAAAAAAAAAAAAAAGTATGTTTCTTTTAAAGGTTAAACTGTAATAAAGCATTGTCACTGCTAATGTTGTAATCTAAGATATTGGACACATTTTACTTGCTAATCAGAAGTGTTTCCCATGCAGGGGAAAACATTCTTACATCCTGAATAGTATAAGTAAAGATTTACCAGAAATTAACACTTATACATACAAGTTTTGTTCTGTTCAGTTTATAGCTGCTCATATTTCAGATTTAATTTTGTATCTGTTTATTTAGAAGCAAGGGTATGTGATCTACCAGTATGTTGTTTGAAAGAACTTCTAATTAAGAGAGAACATAAATGTCGCAAGTTAATAATCTGCTGTTAGCTAAATGTCAAGGTGCAGTCAAAGAGATTGATCCTGTGACTGACTATTAGTACAGCGATTTCATTTATATTTTTTAAATGAGCATTACGAAGGTGGAGTCTGACAGGTTTATTGTAGACAGTAACTGTGTTGGTATCCAGTACAGTCACATGGGCTAGGACAAATTACAAATGTCAAACTTTTTTTTTTTTTTTTTTTTTTTTAAGCATGCTTCATCAGGTGCATTTAAAGCCTGATCAAAAGTCCATTTAAATTGATCGACTGAATCTTGCTGATTTCATTGGGCTTTGGATCAAGACCTTACTGCATTTTTAAAGATACAGTAGTTGTACTTGGGCTCTTTGAGTGTAGCTGCCATTCAGCCTCATGCCTTATAAAGCACTTGGGCTGTGCTGGTATCCACCATAGCCACTCATCCGGTAGCATATTTGTTGCTTAGGTAAGGTTCAGTTCTGCCACCCTAGCTCACGTTGAGTAGTACCTTATTCCTTAAGTAATTCACGGAAATAAATTATTGGGATTTTTTTAAATCAATGGGACTACCTGATAAATAAGTTGCTGCTAAGCATGAATTAAGGTGGCAGAGTAAGTTCTGATGTTCATTGTAAGTTACTGATGTATGCTGATACCTCTTGAGCTACATGTAGGTGACTCTACTGCATTTGAACTGCAGTAGAGAACAGTTTGGTGCGATTAAGTCCAATAATCACTTATCTGTAACATTTCAATTAAAAAAAAAATTACATAGAAATTTGTACCAAGGGCTGACCTTTTTAGATAACCCTTTATCCTAATACTGCCCCAAAATAGTCCCCCTAGCTGAAATGAGTACAGTTCTGCTCCCCCTTATAAGACCACCTCTGTTAAGCAATTGATTTTTGTGAGTCCCACAAGTGGTCACTTTGACAGGTTTCACTGTGTATGAACTAGTTTTAAACTGGCTGAAGTTTGATATTGGTAAGTAGGTTGGTCTTGGAGCAGTCAGATGGGCTGTCAACAATCCTGTGTAGCTGATATTTAATTTTGGGGGGTTTTTTGTGAAAAAACTCTAATAGCGTTCATAATAATTTCATAACTACCTTCTCAAAATAATATTTGAATTTTTAAATGTCAAGTATGATAGAAATTAAGATTGATGATAAATAGACTTCCCTATAAGTCTTGCAGTACAGAAATCCATTGGGTTTTTTACAACTCAAAATCACTTAAATTTAATTTCCGTTTTAGTTTAAGCTCTGAAAATTGTGTAAAAATGCACCTTACTCAGAATCCTATCATCTGATGTTAATGGTGCTGGTATGTTTCTTCTGCTTTTCTCTCAAGTTAAGCAGTACAGAGAACTAAATCACCTATGGAAGACTGAGCTGGATTCTATTATGACTCATGCCTCATCAATTTTGTTAACTAAATTCCAGTTAAAGGGCCTTCACTTTCACCTCTGCAGCCTTAACAATGGGATTGCAAATGTGTAAGTGAATGCAGAATTGGGTCTGCAGAGTCTTTATTATTGACAAAGGTGTATGAGCCAAGAAAATATTTCAGATCTAAGAGTTTGCAGGACTGGCAATTTTTAAATAAAAGGCTAGCAACCAACCAACCCTACCTTTTACTTGTGAACTGAGCCAATTTGATGAGTCTTTGTGGCACAATAAACATAGAATCCTAGAGTGCCATTTTCAGATTCCCTTTTCAGAATAGAATCACACGTTAATATTCACCTTTCAAAATTCTCTAATAGTGGTAGCACTCATTACTAACAACATCATAATTATTTTGGAAAGTTTATAATACAGACAGTAGTTCAGAAACCTTTTTCAGAAATGAACATTTCCTGATAAGTGTATTTTGGGGTTTATATGCAAATCTTTTACTCAGTGGCAACTTAAAATAAAAGTAATTATATTGATTTCTGTGCATTGTTGGCCTTAGAATAGCTGCTGAATTTGGATTTGTTTTCAAATGTTCTGTGCTTTAAGATTGTTTGTTTGTTTGTTTGTTATATAGCAAAACCAGCTCCACTAGAAATAAAACCTCTGCCAGAATGGGAAGAATTGCAAGCCCCAGTTAGATCTCCTATCACCCGAAGTTTTGCACGAGAGTAAGTCTTTTAGCTTTTCTTACTTTAGAGGATTTATTTTCTTTTTACTGGAGCATTAATAAATATATCTGCAATCTTTCCTTTTTCAGCCTCTCTAGCAGAGACTGAGATTTCCTTTGTGCGTGCGTGTGTGTGTGTGTGTGTGTGTGTGTGTGTGTGTACACAAGCGCAAGCATGTGTCAGCTATATGTATGTATGTTGTTCGGTATCATTTGTTAAATAAAAAAGACAACGTATAACCAGAAAACTCAACCCTGGTAAAGCTGACAAATAAGAGTTTAAGCTCTAATATACTTTTTTTTTGTTTACCAGGAGTTTTAAAATATTCTAGTTTGATTGTTTGTAAAATAATTCCTGGTAATTAGCTCCTCCAGGTTTCCTATGTCTCCCAGACCGGATTCAGTTCATAGCACAACTTCCAGCAGTGACTCGCACGACAGTGAAGAGAATTATGTACCCATGAATCCAAATCAGTCCACTGAAGACTCAGTATGTAAAATCTACATCTTAACTACTCTCTTCCTGTGCAGTCCTTACTTTTAAATTATGCAAACACAAATCCTTCTTCAGTCAACAAACCTTTCTTTCCATTTTCTGCATCAAAACCAAAAACCATTTATCTTTATAGAATTTTAGCTTTGTTTTAACACTGTAGCAGTGAGAATGTTAAGAGTAGAGTTGTTCAATAAAGAGGAATGTTAGTATGTCCACAATATATGTTGAGAGTAGGACACCTTTTGGACAAAGTGGTTTAAAATATGTTCTTTCCCAAGGTTTCTGTCTCTTCCTTTCTGTAATCTTTGTTCCTGGGCTACGTGTCAGTAAGTAATCTGTTTCAGTGGATATAAATAATGCTAGTGTTATCAAGCCACTCCAGAGTCCTTCTGAAAAAGGAATGTTGCAAGTAAACATTGCAAGAACCACGGAAGGAACAAAAAAGTCATAAGAAATCTCCATTGATATTTCTTGTTCAAGTTTTTCTAAAAATATGTATATGTTTATTATACTTCTTTTTTTTTTTTAAAGGAGATATTTTATATACAAGATAAAATGATAATGATTATATTGTCTACTTTTTTCTTCAGATAGCTTTTTGCTTTCAGTATAGTCATCCAAGAAATTGTTAGCAAAAGTGAATTAAATTTCATTTCACTTGCTCACATCAGATACAGTGTAGAAGTTGTTAGCTGTGTTTACATTATGTTTAGGTGTTCACTGAAATGTATCATGAGTGATGCATGTTTTTCCCAAATAGAAGCAAGAATTTGCAGTAGCATTTTAAAATAAAAGGTAGTACTGTCCTAAACCAAAATATAGTTCAGAGCACCATTGAACTTTGGGAAAGTTCATATCATCTGTAGCCAAACTTTTCAACTCAGGCCCATCTTAGCTATTTTAATTTTTTTACATAGTGCTCATCACTTAATATCTAAGTGTTGCTTAGATTCTTATTTAGTAGGAATTAAAATACAAATAGTAATATTTGAAAGCACTGTGCAGGCATTAACTGATCCTCACAACAGCCTTGTGAAGGAGTTACTGGTAAGTAAGCAGTGATATATTCCATTTTACAGCTGGAGAAATTGAGACACAGTGATTGTGAATTACCTTTAGCCATGCAGCAAATCAGTAGCAGAATCAGAATTAAAAATCAGGAATTTCTGTTTGCTGATTCTGTGTTCAAGCCACTAGACCAAGATGCCACTTAAGAAATTTAATTTTAAAACTTAAATGAATGTGTTTAATTTCATATCTAAAGGACTGGCCCATTGCTTATAAAATTTTCTACTGTCTTACATCTCTCATTCTTCTAGATTATGGTACCAAATCCCTTTTGTTTTTCTTTTAATTATATTTTAAGACTTTGGTTTTTGTTTTTATTGGACACATCCTGTTTGTGTAATTGTGTGAAATATAGCCCCTTTTCTATATAAAGAGTAATATGCTATTACACATGCCAGAAACAATGGTACAGACAATAAAACTTGTATTTTATAAATGAAATATAGTAAACCCTTTCAAAGAAGTTCCTAACAAACAACTCAGATGCTTAATTGGCTCAGTTTTTTTAATCCTAGCCATTTTTGTTTGTTCATGTCACCTCCTACTGTTAAAGGCATTGGTGATAATGGAATAAATTGTGTAATGGAATTAAAAAAAAAACAGAACGGCACAACCCCCCTAAATTAACTCTTTAAGCATTGGGGGGTTTTCCCAGTGATCTTGAGATGGCTACAAAGCTTTAGGTTTATAAAATGCACTGATTATATAAAGTTTTTGGAAACTTCATTGTTTTAACTACAACTTAAAAAAGGGTCCATAATTTTCTCATCCTTTCCTTCATTTACTTTAATGTATCTTGTTACTACGTGTCATATTTCTGTTTAATTTAGTTAAATGAGCAATATTCAGCATTTTCTTTCAAGTTGCTGTCAGCCTTACCCTGTCTTTCCTTCTGCCTTGCTCTTCATTTTTTGCTGACTGCTGCCCTCTGTCTTCCTTTTTTTTTTCTTTATCTTTTAGAGAAGAGTCCTTCTATTGTACTGTTCCTATAACACCTGTTAAGAGGGAGGGATCAGGCTGGGAGAGGACAGAGGAGGTGAGGTGGTAAAAATCTGGGCTAATTGAAAACTAGGTTCATGCAATACAATTTAGTTCATTTTAGGCAGCCCTGTCTAAATTTTCTAGAGTTAGATTAATCCTGCTGTTTTATCAACTGAATAATTCTTTTGGATTTTCATATTAGTTATTATGATAGTTTTTGAATGAAATGCAAAAGATTTTTTTCAAAACTTTACCGGTATTGTAAGGCTGAGTTTTTATCAAATGACTATTAATAGTGATATAGTGAAATACAAAATTCTTTACTTAAGTAATGTTAAACTCGAGACACAGAGTGCCAATCAGAAAATCCATAGACTGTCCTTAGCTCACTCATATGTAGGAATTAGACACAATCTTTTTGGAGTGTCTACCTGAAACTTGATTTTTCCCCTGTCTTTTGACTCTGTGTCCCAAGATCAACATTAGTTAAACCTAATTTTTGTTTAGAATATTGTTAGATCATTAATAATAGGCTATAAAATATGAATTATTTACCAGACCAGGAGATCTCCTTGATGAGTTCCAAAATCTTGACTATGTAGATAGTGTTTAATAGACTGAGCAGAATGTTCGAATGTTCATTGTTGTTGACTTGATTATTTTTCATTATAATTTCAGATTTTGTTCGGCAGCAACAGTCTTGATGGAGGAAGTAGCCCTAGGGTAAAACCCAAAGGAGATAAACAAGTCGAATACTTAGATCTGGATCTAGATTCTGGGAAATCTACTCCACCTCGTAAGGTAAACAAAATGACTGTTCAAAAGAAAGTTGATCTGATGTACAGAACTGAGCTGCATGAAGAATGTATGAGTTGTTGCAAATTTAGATTGGATTATCCTACTCAATGAAAAAGAAAAGCAGCCCAGCAGCTTCGCCATGATTAGCCAGCAGATATCTATTGTGGCCAGTCATGGAAGCAATATTGCACCCTTCTGGCAAAGCTATAATATATCCTAATGACAGATTTGCATGGGGCTATTACCTTGGTCTGTCAAGGCATGATAAGAGAAGTCAAATCCTTGATCAACTTTACTCACAATCTCTTTCTGAGAGTTACACAGATCTCGCGTCACATAACTGTCACTGTAGTTTATCAGTATGGGAAGTGCCTGTGTCTACAACTTCAGTACACGTAGCGAAGTTTCGGTTTAACTTTCAGTGAGTGCACAGTAGATCAAGTATTTTCTCTCTTGGGATTTCTTCCCTGGAATCCTGAATCTTAGTATTTTATACAAGCCTTATCTCGTATAACTGGGAGCTATTAAAATAAAATCTTAAGCAGGCTGTGTTTGTATCAATGGCCTAGATAATACTTAGTCCTGCCATGAGTGCAGGGAACTGGACTAGATGAATTCTCGAGTTCCCTTCCAATCCTACGATTCTATGATTATACCTTCCCACTTGGATTTCCCTACAGCTCTCAACCCTCATTTGTATTTTTTCCAGTATCAGCAAAATTGAGCGCTATTATACATGATCATCAGTGTTGCCTGATGTCTTGTTACAAAGTCTAAGTTTTTATCAGAGATGTCTTTCAGTGTTTTATTGTCCTCAAGCATAAGTGAGATTATGTTCAACAAAAACACGTGCAATATGTTGAATAGAGTAGGTAGTACTCTGTGTATGTAGTATTATTTTTTTAAAAATACTTATTACATTCATAGCTCTATTGCAAATGAACCTGGCTTCATTTTATTGTAAATATAGGTTAACTTGCCTTTTTCTCACTCTCCCCTTTCCAGAAAAAAAGCAGTGGTTCAGGGAGCAGTGTGGCAGATGAAAGAGTGGATTATGTTGTGGTTGACCAACAGAAAACACTAGCACTGAAGAGCACGCGAGAAGCATGGACTGATGGGAGGCAGTCTACAGAATCTGAAACCCCAACTAAAAGTGTAAAATGAAAATTCTACTATTCCTCAAAGAACAAAAGAAGTATCATTTATCCCAATGAATTTTGATGAAATACAGAACCATAACTGCCATGTTGCTTGACTGAACAGTACTTGGCAATTCACTGGTGTGTTGCTTCCAGAATGAATTGATGGAAGAACGCTTAAAATTTATCAAAGAAATCTAAGTCAGAGGACGTTTTAAATACATCAAAGAAATCTTAAGATCCTAAATTGTGCCCTGTGGTCTCTGGATAATTCATCAAATGTAAATAATGTGTAAAAATAGTATTGCTTGGCTCCCAGAAAACCTTTTGTTCTTCATTTAACATATTTGTAGTATTACTATGTTTATGCACTTTTTCAGTTAAAATGTTGGTTCAGGTATTCCCAGTTAATGAATTTTAATGACGAATTCATTTTGAGAATTTTTTCTTACACTACAATTCTAGGTTAATTAAGCTACTTGTAGATATGGAAATTAATGTTTGAACTTCATGTTAACAACTTAGAAATGATTTAGCAGAAGTAGTGTCACAGTTTAATAATCTACTTGAAATGTCAAGAAATAAACGATAGTTACATACTGTTTTTATATTTAATACATGCAAAGAATATTTGGAAGTCTACAGGTTACCTTCCTAACAAAAATTGCTGTGAGTTAATAATAATGAACTATATTGGTTTTAGGATCTAGCAACATGGCTTAAACATTAGTTATTAGTGGTGGAATGTCTAATGTATTTTATTAATGACAGTGTTCTGTGTTCATTGGGTGAAGATTCTGCAGGGTGGGATCTTACACTTTTAAAGACTGAATAATTAATTGTTGAGTAAACCTGCAAACCACTGATGGCATGCAGTAATGTTGTGATCTCACACTTATTAACAAGTAGTAACCTTGATATTATTTACAGAAGGTAGAATATATAAATAATCAGGTACGTACCAAGCACTGTTGTGCTAATACACTGATCAGGTTTAGACAATGAACTTAGTTTTATATTTCTTAGAAGTCCTAATGTTGGTTTTCAATTTGAAATTAATGGGACAGTTTGACATTCTCTGTTTGTAGTACTAGCACGATACTGTGATTTTGAATTAGATAGTAATTCAAATGGAAATACTATGTTTTGACACTATAGTGCCCTTTCTACAATCTTTATTTTACTTAATCTTCTGCTTTGCCTTATATTTAGATCCCTATGCAACTGATATTTTATATCTGTTTTTTATAAAATAGATACTATACCTAACTGATCCCCTTGTTGCTTTTTCCTGGTACAGGATTTAAAGCTTTGTGTACTGTGATCCTTTTTATTCACTATCCCAGTTCCAAATAATACTCTGCCTTGGTTTAGAACCATAATTTAGCTGTCAGGAAGAAAATAGATTTTCTTCAAGTACATAAATGACTTAAATTTATTAATTATGTCTGGATTGAAAATTTACTAACACTTTTTTTTACACAGATACCTTTAAATAAACTCTCTCTTTTTGTCCAGACCTTTTACATGTTGAATGAGTGTGTTAGTCTTGTTTTCTGTCATGCTGGCCTTAGTACTGTGCCTAATCTACCATAGGCTTTTTTCCAACCTACAGTATGTAAACTGTTTTATTCTTAACAAGGGTTCTTTTTAAATTAGTAATATTTTGATGCTTTAAATGTTCTTTTAAAAAAAAAAAAAAAAAAAAAAACCCTAAATACAATGCATTTTGAGGTGAATTTTAAATAAATCAAATTTGTTCAATTTTGATGTGTAAACTCTGTCCAATGGAACCAGAAAACAATAAAAATTAAGGTATATGGGAAAAGTGCCTAAATTACCAAACAGTTTTTTCTGTGAAGTTGCTAGATTGTAGATACAATACACAGTACTTCTAAAAAACTAAGCCTAAAAATATTTTCAAAAGCAAGTTGTTGAGAAAAAAACCCAAACTGCAAAATTGGACCAAATTCCTGTCCCGTTGAAGCCAATGGAATTATTGCCATGGTCTTGAGTGAAACTAGGTATGAGCTAATTATGACTAGACTGTCTTTAAAAAAAAAAAAAAAAGGGGGGGGGGGGAAACAACTATATCAGGCTTCCACTCATGCACATCACTTTCAAGGACTGAAGTGTTACTGTGCATAATTATTCTCGCTGGTGAGCAAACTTTCCTTATTTTCTTCACCAATACTGCAATTGAAGCATCTATAAGCAAAGCATGTGTTTGGTACTCCATGTAATATGGGGTAGTCTTATTTAGGATACTAATTTCTAATTTTTTTATACTATTAAAGCAGAGATGCTGGGGCCTGATTTATCTCTCGCACCAGTCCTTCAAGGACTTTAGAGGAGTTACGCCTGTTTTAATCTGATCTTAGTGGAGAATCAGACCTTTCATTTATTCTGAACAATAAATATGGTACTTATCAAAGGGCTACCATAAGGGGGATTGGGGCCAAAATTATACCCTCATATGGAAATACACATTGAGGAGGCCTCAAAACACTGGGTTGAAATTCAGAGTTTTCTTTTAATTCTCTTGACAGGTGGGAAAGTTTGGGGATGGTGGGAGGGGTCACAGAGGTGTTTGTGAAAGAGAATCTCTCTACCCCCTGGAAGGGGATGCTCCTCTGTCCCTCCTTCACTCCCTGACAGTGCGGCTCAGTCAAGATTGTGCACTATCAATTTTTCAGTATGACATTTTTATCTCCAGTATTCTGCTTCTTAGTAAACAAGTAGCAATCTGAAGATTTCCTTGACTCTTTCAACCATTTCACTGCTTCAGGGCCAATTTTTTTTTTAAAGCTGGGTTTCCTAAAGTTGCGCACCAATATCAATATATAGGTACCTAAAATGAATGGTTTTTCAGAGGTTCTGAGCACTTGTGACTCCTTTTGATATCAGTGCTTAACTTTAGGTACCCAAGTTTGAAAATTTTAGCCCTCTTTGATGAGACAAAAGGCATAGTTTGTAGTGAATGATGTATCTGGTGTGGGCTTTTGTCCTCACTTGAGTTATAGCTTCCATTTTATTAGACTTTTTAATTCAATAACATCCAGAATGTTAGTTTCAATGAGCAAAAATTTAGTATTTTTTTGTTTTTTGTTTTGTTTTCCTAAAAGAGAAACTATCAAACACCAGTTTCCAGACTCTACAGATAGTGTGGACATAATGCTTTTAAAAATAATATTGTAGTGGTTTTCTTGACTGTTTTGGATTTTAATATATTTTTCATATTCATTTTTGGCATTACATTATTGTCAGCTTGTATTGCCACAAGGACATTCAAAGAGAGGGTGGTATTAATACTGTATAGTGTACCTCGTTTCCAATAACATAGCCTAAAGTAGAATTGTATGCCGCCTATTTGTTGTCATGCTCATCTGTTCTGTTGCTATGATTCTGACATTTTAAAATGTGCTGAATTCTAAATTTGGAGGAAGCAGAGGCAAAGCTTGACTACTGGCCTATTGTGATTTTCGGTTATTAACTTTAGGGAGGCATCAGGTACTACAGTAATGGGTGCTATTATGAGGACCTCAATAGATGTGAATGCAATAGGAGTTTGTCTTGGCGATGTGTTATGTTCTTTTCAAGGAACAGGTAAGCTATAGATTGCTTTGCTTTGTTAGTATAGTATATTGTGAATTACTAGATGGCTGCATCGTTTGTCACATTATTTACAATGAACAATGGTAATTTAAGGCACAAGGCAAAATCTATTAAAATAAAGTAAATGCCATTTGAATCTAATGTGAGCAACTCAAAAATGTTTTTCAGTTTCAAGGTAAAAGTTGGTTTCTTCTTAGCCATTGAAATTTGGCACGTCTCTAGCAAATCTTCTCACAATTTCCCCTTCCTTGAGAGGCTTCCTTGTATGCTTTTAGACACTAAATAGAATTTTGCCTTATTTTGGCAGTTTTTTAAAAAGTATATATTGGTCTATTACAGAAAGAGAGAGACAAATCAAAAGGAAATTTATGCAAACTAAAAACTCTGTAGTGCCTAGAGTATTCCTGTATTTCAGTGTCACCAAAGGTCATCATGTCAACAGTTTCTTTTCTGTTAAGTACTAATGGCCACACTTTCACAATCTATTGCTTATTAAGAGTGTTACCTCACAAGCTGTTGAAATGTGCAAGCCACAAAATAATAGTGTTCCTGCTATGTGAAAGGCTTATAAGGTGACACTGGTGGAAAAAGGTGGAGTGTATTCATTATATTCTAACTCACTGCAGAAATTTATTTTGCACAATTTCTTTAAATTTAGCTTTTTTAAATATTCTGTCCACTTATGGCAATTTTGACACTGCCACACACATGGCTTATGAGACAAATCATAGTCTTGCCATTTTAATCACGTAATTTAGATTTCATAGCTTCATTACCTAAAAGGGGCCACAGGCAAGTCTAAAGCCTTCTCACTGCATTCTGAGCTAAGTGAGATTTTTATCACAATTAAATGTAAGGTTAGCTATTGCTGATTGCATCAGTCAGTTGTGTTGAAAGTATTTCTGGCTCTAAGTAGAGCCAACACCTGTTATTGTTACATTGCAATCTTACAAAATTGTCCTGAAAACTTACCAGCCCAGGGACAAGTCTTCTATCCCCTTTTTTATTATTAATTTTTTTATGAAAAACTGAATGATATTTACTTGCCCATTACAAAAAAGAAAAAAATTACCATGCGTGTTCGAGCGAATACAGTTTTGCAAGGCTGTTGTATTCTAACTGAATTTGTTTGGGTTTTCCCCCTTAAAATCAGAGCAACTGATTAATATCCAAAGGCAAAGAGAGCTTTGGACGTGTAACCTCCGTGCTTTCCTCATTTGCTCAATGGTTCAAGGTTGTGGCATTAAACATGTTTATAAAGGTTTCTTTCTTGCCTGTCTTCATTATTGTGTGAAAATATTAACCAGAAAGTGAGTTCTGAAAAGTGCTCATTTTTTGCCCATCGAACAGTTACACCCTCGGCAGAAAATTATTTTAATTGGCGCAGATGAAATATAGAGCCAAGCTGGTTTTTAAAACTGAACAAGCAGCTAGGTATCTCAAGGTATAGGTCTCAACTTGTCAAGGGCCAAAGGGGAGAGACAATAAAAATAAAGGAAGAAAGCTTGAGATGTGTTGATTAATTTCTTTGACATGAATAGTTTCCCACAATCTGTTTTTGTGATTCAGCATTTCTGATGATGATTTACAATACCAGAAGTGGGATGACAGCAGATGGGCGGGATATGGGACTAGCGGAGAGGTGTGCCATCAGATGAAGGGATAACCTACTTCTGTTTGCACTTGATTTTACTTTTAGTTTCTCCTTTAAAGAAAATCTCTGTGAACATAACTGTCAAGATTTCATTTAGGAATTTGCTGACAGAAGTAGCAGATTAATTTAAATTACCTGGAAAGAGTTTATTGCCTATCCTTTTTCAGATTAAATGCATTTGGTTG